GATTTGCACGGACTCCTACAAGTGAAGGAGGTTGATGAGGTGTCCCAGGCAAAGTTGGCAGTGGCCAGAGTTCGGAGTGTGAGCAGGATGAGCACCATTGCAGACACTCGTGCAGGAATGAGGACGTTCTGCTCAGATGTTCTGAACTTGGATGCAGCCCGAGATGTGGTGGAGATTGCAGCACTAGTTGACACATGGGAATCAGCAAGTACCAGGGTGGCGGTGCGCAACAAAGCGGAGGCAGAAGCAGGAGTTGCAAGCATCCCTACAGCCTTGAATAAAGTGGAAGTGCAAGAGTTGATCATCAAGTTCCAGGCCGTGCACAATGTCAAGCTGGAGGATCGCAACACACCTGCAACTTCGACCCTCGAGCAGATCTTCGACCAGATGGAGCAGGGTGAATTGAAGAATATGAGCCTTGTGCAGTTCCTCAGTAGGGAGGATGCAGAGGCGGATATCTTGGGCGCCACCGTGGAACGGGGGACGGGCACGCTCAAGATCAAGAAGGGTTATGGGGAATGTCAAAAGCCCCGTAACCCAGAAAAGCTCCGCAAGAGGATGGCAGTTGTAGCCAACTCATATTTGCTTGCCCAGTTGAAATACCCACAGAAGGCAAGCCTACGAGATCTCCAACCTCAACACTTCCTCAAGTATTTGGATTTGTTGCTTGGTGACCATGCCTGGGGCTCAAGGCAAAAGGCAAGGATGGGGAGGTAGTGGCATCGCCGGACTTCCTTGTCCTCTCCTACGATTTTCAGATCAGACGCCAGATGGTGAAGCTGGTGAATGAAGGTGCAGTGTTGTCGGAGGCATTGAAGGAGGCCATGACAGACACCACTATCAAGGAGAGATACTTCTTGACGCCCAACGTGTACTCACAAGTGGCAAAACCCTCGGGCTCAGCACGAGCGGATTACCCGAGGTCACGGAGCCCACATGGCAAGAACACATGGCAGCCTGATTACTATGACGCCCCCAAGGGCAAGGGCAAGAAAGGCAAGGGCAAAGGAAAGGGGAAGAAGGGTCGCATGAACGACCGCGCGCCAGACGGCAGGCAGATTTGCTGGAAATGGAACAATCCCAGGGAGCGCTGTCGATTTCAATGTGGACGCCTCCATGTCTGCCAGATTTGTTTCGGCAGCCATCCAGCCCATGCCTGCGATGGATCGGGCAAGAAGGACACGGCCGGCTCAGCGGCCGAAGGAGGCAAGTCAGCTTGAAGCACAGAGCTGCGGGGGCCAGCCTCAGCCCCAATGGCAGCAGAGGGCACCACGGGAGGCACACGTCTTTGCCGAGTTCTGTACCTGTTCAGCGGGGCACAGCGGAAAGCATCGGTGGCATCGTTCCTACAGGAGCAGGCTGCAGGAGTCGGCATTCAATTCGAGCTGCGTGAGATTGACGTACAGAATTCACCAGAGTGGGATCTAGCTGACAGATCCCTGCAAAAGAGGTTGCTGGAGGAGTTGAGGCAAGGCCACTATCATGTCGTGCTGGTCACACCTCCCTGCTCCACCTGGAGCAGGGTGCGAGGAGCCAATTGTCGGGGCCCACCTCCAGTCCGCTCCAGGGAACATCCCTGGGGCTTTCCATGGCTGTCCAAACGTCATCAGAAAGATGCAGAACTGGGAAATGTCTTGATTCAGTTCATGATTGAAGTCTTGCAAGTGCTCGAACAGCACCCACACTGCCAAGAAGGCACTCTCGTCCTGGTCTTTGGCGAGCATCCGGAAGACCTGGGCGCCATTTGGCGAGAAGAGGATGGCGTGAAGATGTTTCCAGCATCGATTTGGCAGCTGCAGGAGATACGGCAGTGTGCACAAGAGTCCAACAAGCGGGATTTTCACCATCGCCTTCAATCAGTGCTGTTGGGGCGCTCCCTATCGCAAGCCCACTAGGCTGCTTACCAACTTGCAGCCACTTCGCGCTTGGGGGCCATCGTCCTGGCCCACATTCGGCCCAGATGGTCAATATCTGGGCCCTGCCAAGGATTTGTGCACCTGTGCCCCCTCGGTCACCTTGGCACGGGCACCTGGTGATGACTCCTTTCGTACAACAGCTACATCTATCTATCCAGAAGCCATGGATCGTGCCATAGCTCACGCTGTCCTGCAAGAGCTCACCTCACATCCCCCTTCACCTAAAGAGGGGGGAGAAGATGTGAAGAGAGATGGAGGTGCACCTAAGACTTCTGTGGGGAAAGTGACGGAGAGCCCACAGAAGAGGCGCAAAGTTGAGTCTGGCAGCGCAAGTGCAACATTGAGCAAGGGGAGCATTGGGTTTGGCAGTGCAGGCAGTGCAACATTGAGCAACAGTGCAGGCAGTGCAACATTGAGCAACAGTGCAGGCAGTGCAACATTGCGCAACAAAGCAGGCAATGCAACATTGAGCAATAATGGGCACAGTGCAACAACATTGCGCAACAAAGCAGGCAATGCAACATTGAGCAATGATGGGCACAGTGCAACATTGAGCAACAGGCCGGGCTTGGGTCCACCTATGCAGGTGAAGTACAAGGGCGAGTTGAGGTCCATACGTGACGGTGCTGGTTTGTGCTCACCGGGGCGTTGGCCGGTGGGCAGAAGAACTGCGCCGCCCACTGAGGATGGCAAAGAACTGGCTCGATGGTGCTTCAGGACGTTTGAGGACTGGGTCGAGCTGGAAGGAGAGGAGAAGGCCAAGAGCTTATTCTGGCAGACAGCTGCTGGCGGGAGTGGCGGCACGCCCTTCGGAGGGGAGATCTATGGCTTCAGGCAGAGGCTGGACCTATGGCTCAGAGAACGGGGCGAGCGGCCTGACCGGAGGTCGCGCGACCGAGACACTGAAATCAACTTCAGAAGGCTCATGGCGGTGGCACGGGTGCTCGGCGACGAGGACCCGGACTTTCTGGAGATGGTGGCTGAGAGAGGAGTCCCCTTAAGGGGTAGATGAGGCCATGCCCCGGACACCGAAGGTGTATGAAGAGAAGGTCAAGTGGACGGTCGAGCCAACCGAGGATGACTTCCATGACACCTTGGCGGAGAACTATGAGTCGGCGGAGGAGAGCTCTGTCGACATCACGAGACAAGTGATGGAGGAGGTCGCGAAGGGCACCATCTTGAGGATGTCAGAGGATGAGGCCAGGAGGCGGTATCAGGGTAGGCTGGCAGTGGCCGCTCTGGGTGCAGTGCCTAAAGAGCTTGGCACCTCGCGGGTCCGGCTGATACATGACGGGACCTACAGCGTCGACGTGAATCGCAGGATTCGGGTCCGAGATCGCATGAGGTTTCCGTTGATCGATGACGCAGCGGCTGTACTTCGTCAAGTGGCGCAGGAGAAGGAGGAGAACAACGAGGTCGTGAGGTTCTCAGTCCTCTACGACATAGCCCGGGCGCACAAGTTGATCCCTGTGCAGGAGGAGGACTGGGGGTACCAGGCCTTTCGCATTCCGGGGGACCCTTCTGGAGACGCTTTCTTGCACACGCGGGGCACCTGTGGGATCGCAAGTGCTGCCTACTGGTTTGGTCGAGCCATTGGGGTGGTGGTCCGGTGTTGCCACCGCCTCATGGGTAGGCGCATGGGGCTCCTGCATTTGATCTATGCCGATGATGGATGGTTGACAGCAACAGGCAACAAGTTCTGGAAGAAGATACTTATGTGGCTGTTCCTTTTCGAGCTTCTGGAGATACCCGTCACGTGGAAGAAGGTGCGTGGTGGTGCAGAAGTCGATTGGATTGGATACCATCTGGATGTGGCTGCCTTCACCAGAGGGATTAACGAGTCTAAGAGGACGTGGATTCTGAAGTGGATTGGCGACAAGTTGCAGCAGGGAGGCGTTCTAGGCCGAGAGTTGAAGTCGGTTCTGGGCAGGTTGTCGTTTGTGGCAGGTGCGCTACGACACGTCAGGCCTTTTCTGGCCCCACTCTTTTCCTGGTCTTCAACGCTGGCGGGGGGTACCTTCGCTAAGTTTCCGGACGCTGTAGTTATTCTGCTTGAATTTGTGAGAGAAGAGGTGTCGCGGAAGCCGGTGAGGAGCTTGGAACCTTTGTTGACCAGCCCAACGGATATCTTCCGGGTGGACGCCAAAGCCGCTGGGGAGGAGATCGTGATTGGAGGCTGGGAATCCTGGAGCGGCGCACCGCTGTCTCAGGCTCGTTGGTTTTCCTTCAAGCTCAACCGTCGGAACGCCGCATGGGCGTATCTGAAGGGTGACCCTTTTCGGTCAATCGCAACGCTGGAACTCATAGGAGTACTGGCCGCGGTGATGGTGCTGGCGCCTGACGCGAGTTGGGCAAAGGGGGACTCGACGGTCACCTTGTCGGCTCTCACGGACAATCTGGGGAACACACATGTCTTGAAGAAGTTTGCAAGCAGTCGCTACCCCCTTAGCATTGTAGCAATGGAGCTATCGGCACAGTTGGACCGCCGTGGGATTGAGCTGGATCTACAATGGGACCCGCGCTGGCAGAATCAAGAGGCAGATGACCTTACAAACGAACGCTTCGACGACTTTGACGAGAGACGCCGCATCGACGTTCAGTTTGAACAGCTGGATTTCATGGTCATGGGCAAGCTTTTGGAGAAGGCGGGGGAGCTCGACTCAGAGCTTCGCCTGCACAAAACTTCGAAGGAGGCCAAGCAAGCCATGGAGAGACCCAGTGGAGAGAAGGTCAGGAGTAAGAAGGGACAACTTCGCTGGCAAGACCCTTGGTGAAGAAGGCGGGAAAGGGGGTCGTGTCGTGGAGTTTTCATTTCCCCTCACAGGTTAGTTTAATTGAGAGTGGGGTAGCGCGGACCTCACTGTAAATGACTAAAGTGGGGGACAGTGAGATCACGGTTAGGCAC